GGAGATCAATGGTTACGACCATTGATCTCCATGTCTGTGTATATGGAGATCAATGGTTACGACCGTAAAATGCGCCATTGCTCCAGCCTTCCGCATGGTGGGCATGATATCTGATTGTAAGCAGATTCCCGGATCACATTCATGGACAGTGAAATCTGAGTATTTCCAAATCTCGTGAAACCAACCCAATTCTTTTAAATCGGCCGAAGTAGAACAGGCCACGTTTGACTCTTGCAATAACGAACAGAACACCCGTCTTCATGTAGGCCTAGAGCTAGCCAACTTCGCCATTAACTTCATACCTAAACGGGGTAATAATGCAGTATTAAAACCTACTACTTTCGTACCGAACCAATGGAAAAAACTCTAGTGGGATGCGGATCAACCATTTTGCCAGAGAATCCAGATGTAGATGTAGATGAACTTAACACCAATCGTTTTTAACATAGAAAAATAATGCTACTGATAAATGTAACTGTCAGAAAATGCTTGAAATATTAAATGAATTCGAAGTGGCGGCCGAATACTATTATTTGAATACCTCTGTGAATAAGAAAGGAATGCGTGCCCGTCTGGTAGCTACATGTATATAGGCTGTGCAATGCCTAAATGAAACGGCCAATTCCAGCGGTTACGAAATGAAGCGTATAAATGTCCGTGGCACAGCCAATTAACCGTTTCTAATCAATGATTCTGAGAAAATGATCCAAAATATGTAGTCTGTAATCTCCTTGACCTTACCAAGTTCATTCACTGAGCTTTTAAATGCTCTTTCACGAACTTAACAAAACACTGAAGAAATAAAGTTTATACATGTTTTTAATGAAATGTGAACTCTTGTGTGAATACCAATATCAAGTTAATACAATTGCAAGATGAATCCCATGATTTGATCGCTCATAGTCATACCGATCGACAGGACATTTTAATTGAATAGGGGAGTCAATGGACGGGAGAAGTTCATCATGTGTATACTTTCTTACCATTTCTCCCTGTCGGCAGCCCTGATCAGGTTGAGAGGGGATGACGACGTGGACGATGAGATTACGGAGATGAAAGAAGAGGCTTACAAGGAATCATCAGTGCAAAAAGTAAGGGGGATTAGTGCACGATCCGATTTGGGAAAGGATGTGTCAATACTGTTACTGTGCTTGAATCGCAGTAGCTATAGGAACATGGTAGAACGGAATAAATACTTTAAATCATTATGTCTTTAACTGGTTTCCACCAATTTAACAGGATCATCTGAAAAACTCTTGGAATCTTATCAGAATTAATGTAATCTGATCTGGTCCAGTGTATTCTGAACATGTGAGTTTTAATCAAATCTGGAGTTCGATGTAAATGATCCTTTGAAGAAAATCATATGCATTTATCCCATGAGTAACCCATACCCAATTATTATCAAAAAGTTTAAATTGATTAAAGATTGTACTAAACACCCCGTGAAATTATTCCATGTAGATATCATTTAGAAGAAAAAAAATAATAGATTTCCATTCCAACGATCAATCAATTGACTGATTTTTTTTTGAAAATAAAGAGTGCTTGATGGACGAGACCGTGTTTCGTGATCAAAACGATAATTGTGCATGGTTTTCACTGTTTTCTCAAAAAGTGTAATATGCAATGAGCCGAAACTTCAACAGGTTGGGATTTGAAATTTTTTTCTGTGGAGTTTGAGCAATGTTGTTATTGGAAACGAATAAAATGCTTGAAAAGTAAGTGATCATGTATGCCTTTAGAAATCATATATCGATGACTTACACAATCTTATGGTGGCATGGGTGGCTTGTGCGTAAAGCGCTCGCCTCTCACCAAGGTGACCACGCCGTTCGAATCCTGGCCGCGGATCGCATGTGAGTAGAGTTGTGCGTTGGTTCTCTCCTGTGCCACGAGGGCCCTCCGGTTTTCCTCCCTCCGGAAAAATCAAACACTTTTGATCTCAGGCTGTGCTCCGTGGTCATATATGGGTCGATGTGGCCGGCAGCCATAGGCGCCTTTACGTGCCAGCGGCCCGACCACGTTGTAGCCGCGTCCTTCGCAATTCAGCATATCAGCTGCGAGTAAGAATGATTAGCCTCCCAAATTATTTTTTTTATTATTATATTATTATTATCTGATCTCATTCCATCTGATTTCAGTCAAGACATAAGCAGATTCACTGATATCACTGTAAAAAAAAGTTGGGCAAAATGGGTTGATAATTCGACCAACGCTGGTTGAATTATCAACTGCCAACAGTCTTGGGCAAATTCTTCCCAATAGTTTGACAGTTTTTACCCAATTCAACCCAATATGAGATAATTTCATACCAATTCTGGGTAAATGACATTGCCCAACACTGTTTTATCCAACCTTTTTTACAGTGATCATATCCAACTCAACCTGAACGCTGCATGAATGAAGATAATCCCAACTACCCGATTTTGCGTTTGATTGAAATAAGCCCAGTTAAAATGCAATCACCCTAATGTTAAGCGATCTTGAAAACAAAGTCTGTTCTTGTCCTAGGTGGGCATGTGGGCCGTCGTCACCGCTAGAGATCCTACATGGAAGATGCCATTGATTATAAGTGTGGTGCTGCATGCCGCTCAGCAGTTTTCTGGAATCAATGCTGTAAGTTAACGCCTCCCCATCTACTTTCAAGACAAATGCTTTTGTTACCCTTCAATTCTCATATCACAAGGGAAACAACACCAATAATCAGGAAACAAAGGTTGTTTGTGTGGCTTTTTATAAGAGGGAATTTTGGCGTCGGGATGATGTGTAAATTCAAATTGGGTATAGTTTTCCCTATACACCGACGTAGTTATAAACACTGGATACTCGGTGTGTGGCTTTTAATGAGTTCAATTACTCGAGCGACTACTCAAAAGAAAGTGCAGGAGAAAACCCAATAGAAGAACATGATACAACCTGAATAACTGAGTGATACAGTGGGCTCTACAAAGACGATGCAGCACAAAGAAAAGCCACATTCATATATACATGTAGCTTTATCAGTCTAAATAGTCCTGGGTCCGACATGACCCAAATCCCAGTCGGGTTTAATTGACCCAGTTTCCAGTCAGATTTGGCCCGGTTTCCAGTCTGATTTGACCCAGTTTTCCAGTCAGGTTTGACCTGGATTCCAGTCAGATTTGACCCGGATTCCAGTCAGATTTGACCAGAAATCTGGTCCAAAATTTGACCCGATACTTTACAGCATCAAAATGACATATTTCTTGGGCGAAAACACACTTTTGCCAACTGAAGGTTTCCAGGTAAAAAATGACCCCGGGAAATGCCATTTAGCCTGGAAAAGGGTCGTTTTGACCCTAAAAAGTTATTTCGTCATCTTACCCAGATTCAGGGTCAAATCTGACCCGAGACTTTTTAGAGTGTACACACCTCGGGTGGGAAGCGATTTGAAACGAATGTAGAGTCTCCAGCTCAAAATCCGTCATTTAGTCGTAAGTCATTTTTCCAAATACTTTCCAACTTTTTTTTTTACACGATCTTTCAGGTGATGTTCTATGCAACCTACATCTTCAAACAAACAGGCATGTCAGATGAAGAGGTTTCTTATGCAACTGTTGGATTGGGCGGTGTCAATGTTTTCATGACCATTGTCGCGGTGAGTGACACTGGTTCTTTGGGGGACACCTTAATGTGTGGAAAGGCGTGACATTTGTCCCATTCTGGAACACAAATGAATCTTGGGTCCAGTTTTGGGTTCAGATTTCTGTTTGGCATTCATGTTGCTTATACATGTAGCTCTATTATGCATCCAATGGTTCTGGCATGGTTCCAATTACTTCGGTTGTGGGTCCAGGTTCTCTGTTTGTCCCAAGTTTCAAGTCAATACTCTTTATGAAGTTATACATGTTAAAGTTCTTGTTATTTTCATAGTTCTGATGGACCCTAGATCCGACCACTGTTCTTATTCTTGATTAAATCACAGTTATAACGGTCCGTATTAGTTGAATATGAGAAACGATATGACTGCTTTGCTGAAAAAAAAACTCAGTTAAACTGGTTCTTTGGGAGAGGGCCTAGTAGGATGCAGATTATGTATATATATATATGGAGAATTTTCTTTCCAGGTAAGGAAAAAACCTACAACATTGGGTACGGTTAGGTTTGGTTTCTGCTTGTCATATGAGATCTTGGCTCATAATCCAATTTTAGATTCCCATAGTTGGTTCTGGCAAACTTCCTATCCCGGGTTCAGATCCTCACTTTGACTTCAGTTTTAAGTCTGTTTCCTTAACAAAGACCTAAATGCTTAAGGTGTAATTGTTTGGTTCCATTTGGTTCCTAATTTCAGCTACAGTTCTTATTCTTGTTTAAGTCACAGAACGTAATTATGGTTTAAGGATGCATGAAAGTATTCAACAAGTTATAATGACAGATTAAACATTCCCGTTGACTTTTTCAGTTTCATTTATCCATGTCATTGTAGGTCTTTGTCGTTGAGCGTATAGGACGCCGTAAGCTCCTGCTATTCCCATTCGGCATAATGGCCATTGCCACAGCATTGCTAACTGTGTCCCTCAACCTACAGGTAAGTAGGTTGTGCATCTGCAACCACTGCAATCCATGAGCTCTTCTTTATGGGAGCTAGGTTCGGAAGAGAGCCACAAAGAAGCTCACAGTGCACATGTAAACAAAGCATGATATCAATGTCTCAAGTCTTTTTGTCTTAAAAAAAGTTGTGTCCTTCTGCAAAATGCTTGTAAGAGAAAGAAAAACATCCCAAAGCCTACTTGTCTGAGTCTCAAACCAGTGGCATGTTATGCTTGCCAAGATCAGTTGGGCTATGCGAATCTAAAAAGGTAGTGGCTTACCATAAATTTTGCTAATGGACTAAAACATGCAATGAAACGCACAGCAGTGCTCAAGTCAATGCGTTTTTTGCAAGTTTGCACAATGGAACGCTAAATAATACATCCCCTCGGAAAGACAGTTCTACTGTACTACTTGAAGCATTCAATATAATTGTGCACTCTCCAAGATTTTACGCCTTACGGCTGACAAGTGACCAACGCTGGGTGCTTTATTAGTAAAATGGACGTTTCCTGTTCATTAAACGTGTGATCTATAACATCTGACAAAGCTAAAGAAATAATTAAATGTATTACAAAATATAGCTCTTTGCTGTTCAAAACTTTGGTGGATATGTACTTTTACACAATATGATTGTCTTACTTGTTAAAACAACTTTGCCAATTGTTTGCATCTCCAGACATTCAAATTCAAGTATGTCATTTCACATGTAAAAGCAATCTTTCCCCCCCCCCCAAAAAAAAATTACTAAATTACATTAGTACAAGGTGGAATACATGTGCATCGATACCGAATTCGTATAATTATCATAATTCCCTACCTCCTTGGAAAACAAATGGCACACGTAGTGTTAGAGGAGGTCTATGGCCAACTGGAATAATTGTTTCATTGAACACTTCTGCTACCTTAGGGCTTTTTCACACTAGACAAATCTCGGAGTTGAAGCAGGGTTGAAACATGCAGTGTTTCACACAACTGTGCACCAACCCTGCATCAACCCTGAGATTGATTTCACCCCGGGTTGAACTCAACCCTGCTCCAGACCAGGGTTGAGATTTCTCAACCCGGGTTGAAACTCCGCCAGGGATTCAAAACAGTAGCAATAAGCTTGATTTGCATGAAGCAAGTGTTAAACTATGTGGGGTTGAATGCGGGTTGAAAAATACAAAAAAGTCAACCCGGGGTGGCACTGGGTTCGTTCACCCGGGGTTGAGTTCAACCTGGGTTGAGAGGCTGTAGAGTGATAAGGCCTTTATACTTTCGAACTGCAAAACTACAAAACATTGGAAACAGAATTAAGGATTAAATACCATCACACAGAATGCTACCTAAAGCTGAGAATGTTGCAGTATTGTCCACTATCTCCTACAATCTAAACACCAAAAGCTTTGAAAAAAGGCAGTGTACAGATTTGCATGGGAAACAAGCCTTGTGTGAAACCTTTCATCTGACATTAGTGAGAAAGCAGAGATAACTATCTCAACACTCAAGCATTTTGTTGTCAGTTGGTCAAAGGATATCAGCAATGTTGTTCAAACTGCAACTAGTCCTCCTTCACTTAAAATACTTAAACATTGTAATTGACAATTTTAAGTGAACAAGTTACAGTAAATGCCATACATGTTGATGGAGTTTTTCAATGTTCATTATTTGTGGGTTTTTCCTTTTTGAAAAATTGCATCATTAAAACCCCATATATACATGAAGTCTGCATGTAATACTACAAACAGGTATGCAACTTGAAAGAAAGAAAAAAACGAGGAAACTCCAATCTTTACAAGCCTTTGTATGGTGATTTTCAATTTTGAATGGTTAAGTTTTCAATTTTTAAGTGTTAAGTGAAAAACGAGGAAATCAGCTGATCCGAGGAAAAGTTGCATGCCTGTAAAAAAATATTTCAGAAAATGTACTTTCAGGTTGCTATACTCATAAAGCATGTGTATACAAAGTATAGACATCTTTTTTTTTAAGTCCAAATGTAAAAAAGTAGAGTCTTTTTATAATCATTAAACCTGTTTTATTTAATACATAAAACTCATTTACCCATGAAAAACAAAATATGTAATACATAATCTTACAAATGAACACAACAAGCAGTGGTTTTTTTTGCACTGTCGTGCGAAAGTTTGGAATGAGCTGTTCACCTGGTGTTTTAATTACCTCCTGTTTATGATAAGCACATACAGGAGACCAGACTATGGACTCTATGCATAAGTGACCTCTCAATGGTTACAAAGGGAACGTTGGGAGGGACCTCTTGGCGGGATTCTTGACCACACTGCTTACAGCCCCTGACGCTTAGGCAGTTGCACACACACAATTTGAACAAAAGACACAATCCCCCGAGGACTGAAACGATCTGTTGTTCTCCCTCTGTCTGTCAGTCCTCTGGGTGTATGTACCGTAGTGTACGCCCACTCTTGTAATACATGCATCTCGAGGACAGACAAACAAAGAGGGACCAACAGATTTTTTGTTGTCCTCGGGAGTTCATCTTTCCTTGAAAACCGTCCTCAAAATGAAAGTGTGTGTGCTTAGTCTATGGGAAAGGGAAAGACAATGCCAAATTGTCCTCGGACTTGATGGCAACATTTGACTGTGCACGGAAGCATGCATCCCTCCCACTGAATAGCGAGTGTTTATGCATGGAGGCCATAGGAGGAAAAAAGGCTTGGTAGAATCGGTTTTGTGGCTATATTTGCAGTCCTTACATGAATTGACACACTGCAGTGAATATCTGTAGCTGTAGGTAATAATAATAATAACCTGATTTACAGAGTGTTAAATTGCCTAGGGATACAATAGGCGCTAAACAAAGAATGAAAACAGGGAAAGAAGACAAAAGAGGACAACCAGCTATTCACTGCACATACATGTACAAAAACCAGTTATGAACACAGGAAACACAGAGTGACTAAAATATATGTACATGTGTACTTAATTGTAGCAATACTTCTGGTAGCAGCAAAACCAATTTACTGATCACAGGTCAAAGGTCATCTGATTTGAGTGCGCTGTACTTGATGCCATCAGAGCCGTTTACGTTTCCGTCAGGACTGCCATCCAAGTTCTAAAAACATGATCAAGAAAAAAACAATGGCATGAGCATGTAGGTTGTGATTTTTATCTTTTTAAACTCAGATCCAATTGCATTTTTTTTTTCTTGAATAGAGTTCCTTTGACTGGATGCGCTGGCTTAGTCTGGTGTTCATCTTCATGTACATCATTAACTTTGCCATCGGACCTGGTAAGTTACAACTTGCTAACACATGGGTAATACATGTATATCGGAAGTTTCCTGTAGACCATTCTTTCGTGTTTTTTTTGTAAACATTGAGCACCATTTTGTATGGGCTGTCACAAGGGTACAAATTTAAAACCGGTTGGCAATAAGATTTTGCCAAAAATTGCATATTAACAGCCTCGTTATGTAAGAAACGGATATTTTTTTTATGGAGACTGCTCTATGTTCCGACACCCCTATGTTCCTACACCACTATGTTCCGACAACCCGCATAAGATGGTGTAACTCTCGGTTAGGGTTCGGGTTAGGAATAGGACTACGTGCAGTCGAAACATAGGGGTGTCGGAACATAGAGGTGTAACCTTTTTTATTAGGTCTTTTGTAACTTTAGTCTGTTATTTTGTATTTTCAACAATCCAATGATATGTTTAGAAACATAAATATCTGTTTGCAATTTTTGTGATGTTGACCTTCCATAGCTTGCCAACCCCTGGTTGGCATAAAGTACCAATAACGGATTGAGCAATGTAAGGTCTATTGGCCTGACTGCGTATTCCTGAATACATGTATGTACGAGTTGAGGTTCGGACATGGAATGTGTAACCTCACGCTTGACTACAACCCTCCCAGTCCAAAAACAAATTGGATGTGTTATTTGTAAAGACAAGCCTGATCAAGCGTATGTGAGGTTCATATGTAATGTTATAATTTGTAACCTCCAACCTTGTGTTTTTGTAAGGCTCCAATGTGATGTTCTGTTAGTAGCCACTAGCATGTACAGGTACACAAGGTTTTAATAAGAGATGTTGGGACTGTGTTTCTTTATGTGTTTGGTTGAATGTCATTGTTCGTGACATCAATGACAAGTGGCACGTGGCTAAAAATTAAATGCCATGCTGTGTGACCACCTGTATGTATGAGGGTTCACAAGTTTCTTCTCAGTGAGGTGCACCTCATACAAATGAGGATCACATGTGAGGTGCTGCTGTGATTTTCTGTTTCTATACCCTCAAGCCTGTCAGTAAATTAATTTGCAGCGAGGTTCAAATGTCCTGTTTTGTTGATGACCTCAATCTTGCTTCCCCCCCCCCCTCCAGGACCTATCCCTTTTGTGATTGTTCCCGAGCTGTGGGCCCAGGGGCCTCGCCCTGCTGCCATGTCCCTCTCTGTCCAAGTCAACTGGTGGTGCAACTTCATCGTTGGTCTCTCCTTCCCGTTTATTCAGGTAAAATACTTGTGCATGGAAGTCCAAAGACACAGAGTCTTTCTTCTGTTAATTCAAATCCAGGAAAAGGGATTTGTAGTACTTGTGTCCATGAGCAACACACTTTGTTATAACAGAATTTTAATGGACTCATTTTTTGACAGCACCATGCTTCCAGGCAACAAAATATTCTGGAATTTGAGGATTATGGCATTTCTGTCCTTGAGCATATTTTCTACAATTCTCTCTCCTTCAGCCTGAAACAGTACATTCCGAGCAAAGTGTTTCAAAATAAAATAACTAAGGATTCTAAGGATGTTCAAACTTGTAAGTTGACAGGTTTTCTCTCCAGAAGTAGAGTGAACATATTGGATTATCGCTATGTATCTGTCATTCTTCTCTGCCGCTGCAGGAGGGTATCGGGGCCTACACCTTCTTGGTCTTCATGGGATTCCTCATTGTCAGCACCATCTTCATCTTCTTCTTCATCCCTGAGACCAGGAACAGGACCTTCGAGGACATCTCCTCCAGTTTTGGAAAGAAGAAGGAGGTGAACCAGAATGAGTACGAGCTTCAAGACCAGCGTTAGACAGCGAAGGGCATCTCAAAAGCACAGTGTATTTTTATCATTGTTGTCTGGGTCCCATTTCATAGCGTCTTAAACAATTTGCATCAGTTAGCACAAGTTTCAGCCGAGAACCAGTCAAAAGCTATGTCCATCACATGACTTTTTGGCCGGTTACCTGTTTGCTTGGCAAATATTTCCCATCATTAAATTGGCAAGCTCAGCAAATTGGATTGCCAAACAGCTTTGTGTACAGAAATGTATTAAAGTGTCTCATGATTGTGAAATAAATTGGCCTGTGCAATTAAACCTATGACAGCGCAGGGTGGGCTGCAAAGTGTTTGGGAGATCACCAACTGTTAAAATAATCAAAGAAATTAGTCAAGCAATTGTGCAGCTTAAGTGTTGCGCTCAGCACCTTCTCATCATGGAACCCAATGCCAATGACACAGTGGGTTCCAAAACAGAGATCAATAACCCATTTGGTGTGAACATGAAGAGCAACTCCTTGTGACCGGACATATGACTCAAATCAGGAATTCTAATACTACATACACTCGCATTTAATCACAAGTAACAGAATGAATACAGAGATTATGATAATCCAATGTAATGTTTTTACAAGACGCACATGTGCCGCTCACATATGCTCACGCGGTCGTCCTGAAGTCCGCTGTTCCAACCAACCTTTAGTCACTGTACTTCCCCAAACTGCCCTGCCTATTGCTAATTTGTAGCGCCCCTAAACTGCCTGAGCACTCTCTATATAGAGTTTTAATGATTTGTCAGTAAATAAACACAATGTAATACAGTGTAGTGTAATACAATGTAGTACAGGTGGTAATGGGTTCATTCAGTTCACACGTCTATAAACATGTACACTCTTAGTTGAGTCTACATGTAGCATGTGCACGATGAACATTTTCAACTTGATTTGTCCAACCGTTTTGATTCGTACATACATGCATGCATGCATGCACCAATGCACACTTTGGTCTACATGTATACCGACATTTGTCCTCAAAATTTTCATTAAAATCTGTTGTTTTCTTGATAATACCACGATTTTGTATATTTTGACCACCTTAAGGTGCAAGAGATTTATGCTGCCTCTATCAGAAAGTTAACCATGCTGAATGCTTTTAAAATGTACATGTATTTCCTTGGTGCTGATTTTTATTAATCATAGTGTGAAGGTGAATAGTTCTGCTGAGTAAAGTAAGAGTGCTTAATTGTTTCGAAGCGGAAACATTTTTGAAACAAATTTTAAAAGTAAAGTTTTATAAGCATCTGGTGTATTTTTAATGAAGCTCTTTTTCTCAGTTCCTCTATACCAAATAAAACTTTTTTAGCTCTTCTCAAGATCCTCACAAGTACATGTATATCAAATGAACTGAGACAAATCACTGTTGATCTCCTACAGCTAGGACCTTGAATGTGATTTGACTTGTGATTTACTTGTGAGGACTTGGCTTCAGCTCTGGGCCTATTTTTATGGTTCCCCTAACCACAGAATTCTGCGCTAACAATCACCACTCTGGGTGACTGCTCTATGTTCCAACACCCCTATGTTCTGATAACCTGCACATAAGATTGAGTTACTCCCGGTTAGGGTAAAAGTCAGGGTCAGGTTTAGGGATAGGAATAGGAGCAGTTGGACGGAACATAGGGGGGTCGGTGCTAACACGGCTAGCCAACAAAATATGCTTAAGGCCCCCCAAAAAAGTCTCCGGTTTCTGGTATGGAGCTTGCCCCAAAAGTGGTGCGGCGACGCGGCTTTTTTTTTTTTTACATGATTTTTTTGCTTCAAATGTCGGCTGATGACTGCAAATGGTGCCCGACTAAACTTAGTACAAATAGGCCTATATGGGAATGGGAGTCCAGAGGGGCCACATAAAGCTTATTCTCGACCATAACCCCACCTAAAAACACGTTATAATTGTGCAGCAGCAGAATTCCAGTCAAACCAGTGAGTTTGGCGGTTTTTAGACATCATCTTTCATTGAAAAAAAAAACTTTTTCATTTTGCCAACGCGCATGGCTACGGCGACGCGCGCGCATACCAGAAACCAGAGACTTTTTTTTTTGGCCTAACCTGTAACCGCAGAATCTTAAGTTACAAAATCTAAGTACCGGTATGTGCGTAAGCTAAAATTCCTCGCTAAACCCGTGAAATAAACAGTAAGCACAGAATTTTTGGTAACAGAAAGCAGGGATTTTTCCCGCTAACAGAACGCAGAGCCATGAAATTGGGCGCTGAACTTGGGATATTAAACATGTTAAATACAATAATGTACAAGTAGTGAATATGGTTTGAAAGATCAGGTATAAAAATATACTTTTTAAAATACTATACTATGGGTTGGTTTTTTATTTCATATTTTAGACTGCACTTTAATGATATTCTATGAGATATTTTGAGTCATATTCCTGAAAATAGTTGTGAGTTGTTTATTGTACATTAATAGTTAAATTTCAACAAGAGTCTTAAAGAATATCTCAGAACTGCCTTTGTTTGTATGCTCTGAGATGACATTTGTTTCCATTAGTTATTCATTGTAAAAACATGACCTAAAAATTCTGAATTTCCGATTTCCTTTTAACCATTTCATATCAAGATTATAACGATTAAGTCCAAGCATTTTATCTGAGAAATAAATAACTTTATAATTAATGTTATTATTGTCTGTAAAAATCCGATTTTAGAATCGCCCTTTTTGGAAATCAGTTTTGTTTCATTTTCTTTTGAAAATATGACGACAACAGCCAAAGTTATTTTATCTTTCTATTTCAAAATTTAATGTGAAAATTTATAGGTAAAGATGGATGGAGGTGTATTGTTCATGGACATGATTTTGTATATATATTAGAAATAGCTGACTTTTCAATAAACAATTTTTAACACAAAATGTAAATAACAAAAGCAATAAGAACAATTTAAAAATTAATCTCAGGTGAAGGAAACATTGCAAAAATATCTGAAAACTTACAATTGTTTGGACAGAAGTATCAGTATGTCTTGAATGTTTCAGGGCATTAGTTACAGTCAAAATGGAC